TACCGTGTGATTTACTGCGGCCGAGGGCTGTTAAAAAGTTGTAAAGTGCCTATGTTTCCGCTGGTGGTGCAACAATGTTTGGGCATTTGTCTCTAGTGGCGATAACCATTTACTTGAATTTTCAATGGGCATAATAATATGTGAAAGTGCTAGCGGTAGCTAACACCAAGGAGAAAAGGAAGAATCTTGGGCATGCAATTATAGACTCAAGTAATGTGTCTGCAATAAATGTTTCTTTTGAAGGTAGGCTTTCAGTGATTTCAAATGTTTACATTGTACACCCATCACAACATAATATACACACATACACTATGGGTAACTAAGCATTATGTAAAGTAATGTGGCGTATGTTAGGTATTTCGTAGTAAAGTGTCTTGCAATTTGGTACCTACTTAGGGCTATTATTCAGTACAATATTGGATTCCGAAATTCAGTATTGGAGTCATTTAATTGTAGAGATATATTGCTGCATTGACAATGAAAGTTGAGTATATTTTAACACATTTAGGTACTTATGTGTCAAGTTCGCACTTTCTAAAAATGTGTTGACCGACACGTTTTTGCCATGATCCAAGCTGTGGTGTCTAAATCCCAATTATGGCAATATATTGTATCGGGTCGGCGTTCGGCGCCTTTGCCGCGGTGATTCCTAGAACTTGCTTCGCATGTGCGCACGCGCTTACGCGGCGCTCTTTGACCCTGCGCTCGCCCTCGAATTTATGGCCCGTATTAATCATAATACCTAATGAGCATACTTATTCTTTGTGAGTTTTAGGAATTGTGTTTTTATTAGTTCGCAGCTTTGCAATATCCATGTCGCTAAATGTCGGAGATTAATTATTATTGCTTTTGTCTGCAGAAAAAGATTTTAGGAGATGTTGTGAGCATAGTATAAGATAGCGTACTTAGTGACATACCTATCTAAGGCAAAAGTTTGCGACCTGGAAAAGTGTGCTGCACACACGGCGTCGAATTGTTGTCTTTTCAAAGAGTGGCACCACTTAATACTGGCATAGTATCGTCTATTGACGTTTGATTCATCATCGTTTCTTGAACTTTTTATAATACTCTTTGGGGCTATTTAAAAGCAAACATTCCATATTGGTCATAGAAGTCCGTAAATAAAAATTGTTTGTCTTACTGTTGACGGGACTGTGTTAATAACACGTTTTAACTACGAAACGAAAGGCTTCAAAACAGATGACACTGCCGGTGGCACAAAAGCAACATGTTTTCAGTCGCGTATGTAATGCCCTTTGAAGTGTAGTGGCAGTGCCAATAGCGCGCGTCGGGCTCAAAGCGAGCCCACCTGTGGGGGAAACATAAATTATACACTTTGTCGCAGCAAGTTCGTAAACCGCGAAGACGTTTTAACTTCCTGAAAGTTGTCGTACTTAGTGGCCCCCTATACGCGAGGAGTTGGTGAGGACAAGATATAGTAGAGTTATCTCTGTCAAGCAAGAATACTTTGCACAGTACCTAACGATGACGACATATCTAGCTAAATATCGTCCGATTTTGCAGCAAACTTTTAAAGGTTGTAATGTAACCGTTGTGTGTTTTTTTAAGTGAATGCCTGTATTTCAGTACTACTTTATTGATAGTTTAACCAATCGAGGGTCGGGGTTTTAAATGAGACAATACACAGGNGTGGACAATACACAGGAGTAGGAAGTCATGTTGGCATACGTAGGTAGAATAGAAGACATGTTAAGAAAATTTTTACGCCTATTTGAATTCACGTACCAGACAGGGGTGACGTCACTGGAATACCAAATAGCGCCAAATTTGGGAACACCCTCATCCCGCTCGATCAGTTTACTAAATTCGTTTAGGGTGATAAATCTGTGTTTAGCATGGGGCTGGGACTTAATTCGATTACGAAGGCTTGGCCCTGATAACGGCCGGCTTATACAATTACGGGGTCATCACCACGCATGATTAAATTGTACAATCTAGCCTGGGATCATTTGGAAATAATCATATTATCGAGATAAGGTCTCCTAACTAATTCAATTTGGGTATTCAGCTAGCGACGCTTTATTGCTTGTTTGTGATGGGTGTAATAGGATTCTACTGACAATATCTTTCGCTGTAGTAATTTTTTTTATAAAATAATATCTTAACTCGACAATGGTCACAATAATCTGAAATAGCTATTATTTAAAGATACTCGTGAAGAAAAATTATATGATGAATATCATTATCATAATGACGTCCAAAATAACGCAATGCCCACACCACTCTACCTCACAAGAAGATAATTTATGTAAAACCTATATCGTATTGCAACCTGCCAACTCGTGAGGCCACGACAAACTTTCGAGATTACATTAGGAAGTATCGTGATATTGTAATTGAATAATATTTAATGGTTAGTAAGTTAGTACTTACTAACCATTAAATATTATTCAATTATATTAAATATTACTAAGTTGCATCCGCCATTCCTGGAGCCGAAATGGAGCCATCATAGTCACGTTGAGAGGTATAGAGACCACCGCACCGGCGTCATTAATAAAGCGAAGATTAACCTAGGCCACGAGCTCAGTAATGGAGTCTGTCGCAGATGAGCTCGGTTTTTACGGCACGAGCGCCGGCCACCCGCGGAGGCGACACTTCCCCTCCTCATTATTTGTGGTTTCAATTCGCTTTTTACGACGAACGTCGCCCTCTTTGTGGCTACTCCTCTAAATTACGCTCCACCAAAAATGTCGTAATAAACCAACAGCTACAAACTAAATTAAACTCTGTACCTATAACATGACAGTTTAATTTATCTTGGCAGGCCTTCTGCTACGTCAGACCAGTGCTTGCGCAAGGTCTATATCAAAATTCATTTGTGAATGAGCGGCGATGATTAAAAAGTTTCCGTCGAGTATCAGTCGAGGGGATCTCGATGCAATTCTCGAAACAATCGGAGTTGATTCACGACAAAATGACAATTGAAATAGTAAGTACCGACAATGTTGCTTCGACTTACGTATCTATGTAATCACATACGCAAACGAGCACAAGATGTTTAATTAGGATGTAATTTCGTATTCATGGTTTGCAAAATGTGTCGCATTAAAGATAGAAAATGAATAACTTGTGTTCTTTTCTTTAGGTTTCCTTTGTTTTTTCAGAAATAAAATTCGGATTGAGCTTTGGGATTCCGGGTAAATATTTGCTTGTACATAATTATCCTGTAGATAAGTTATGACTATGTTTCAAGTTGTTTTGGATTTTAACTACATTTAACTACACCATACGAGTAGCTTTAACTATCTTATTGCGACATAATCAGTTAATTCTCAAGAAGAATTGATTCTTAAAAATATTACTTACTTACCTACTTACCATGAATTAATTTCAGATACTGCATTTTGTGGCCCCATCTGCATGCGTCTGTGTATATTAGTATATTATGACATCGGTTTGTATAAGTAAGAATTTATTTAAAATAATTTCTTCTATCTGTACCTCAATCACTGCTGACTGATGAAATGTATCTAAGTACAGTCACGGAATGAAAAGGTTCGTCAGTTTTCAAATTGATTCCTTCAACGAATCGCGAGCACATATTACCTTTTGAAACTATGTTACAGAATAATCTCGAATTAGAGAAAATAATCTTTAACTGTTCGTCAGTAAAGTTCAAAATTAGTCAGATCAAAGTTGTTGGACGATTTAACTTGTCAATAAGATTATTATGATTGATAAACTAAAACCTTCTTGTTGGTTCAACCTGCCATTATCTATTAAATAAAAAAAATACATTTTGTAACATTGCACTGATGGGATACAAAAATAAACAAGCAAAACCTTATTCGTTAGCAAACGTCATATTTATTTAGATGTGCAGCACTGTTTCTTGCACGGTTATGTTGGCAGGTTTGACTTTTACAGTACCTAGTGCAAGCGAAAACCGACACTAAGGTGACGAACCTTTTCATTCCGCGACTGTACGTACTGACTTCTTTCTGACTTTATTAGCCCCGATACGCAGCTGAATTGGACTGAATAATTCATGATATTATTATCAATTTTTCTAACCTAGGAATCGAACCCAGGACCGCCGGATCGGTGGCGTTCAAATAATTATCGTATCGTTTAACCATTATCGGGACTATTCCCACCTCTCGTTCCCACCACTGCAACTCCTGTGTAGCCAGGATCTACAGCTTGACCGCCACAAAAACCCAACCAATGAAGGTCAAGTTTGTCCCGGGGGAAAGTTAAACTGTCATTGGACCCGCAACGAAATTAATCAGAAGAACATAGGAGGAGTTCGAAATTAAGGTTCGACTTCCCTCCATTGCAAAAAATCGTTTAACCATTAGCAGTAATAAATGCATTATTGTAGATAGGTAAAGGGTATTGGGAGAGTCATTTTAGTATTTGTCTAGTTAAAGTACTAATAAGATTACCTATAATTTTATAGGAAGCTACATTTTGCAAATAACGCTGTAAGCTTACAGAAACTAATACAAGTATGGATTTTCTCTTCATTACTTTAAATATTCACCAAGTGACCCAACTTCTATTAAAATTCGGCTTCATCGCAAGAGTAGGGCTGTAGTGTAGAGTGGACACCATTTTGTGGTCACGTGATCTTTACATTTTCTTTTACTAATCCAAATTGTAATTCCTGGTTGTTCAGTTTATTATTTGTATTTACCTTCAGGGGATAGTGACCATACAGAAGTTTCTACATATTTCTCTTCGCAAATTAGGCTCTACTGAAACTTATTATCTTTAGGAAAAGAGAGCTTTTGGCGTATTTTTAATTGAATTTCTAAATTATGCTTTTCAATCTGGATTAATAGTTTCAGTGGGTGGTTAGGTAGTCCCTGTTAATAGCCAATATCCTAAAAGCAAAATACCTACGTTATGTAGGTAGGTAATGGTTAGTAATTCCTTCGTGAATTGATTTGGAATAATAATACAAATATCCACTCGGAAAAAATATATTCAATTTTTATAAAATCAATTTCAGGCATTTTTTAATTCGCACAATTTTGTACACTATACATCATAGGAATAGTTTTACAATTACCATCAATGTTAAGCCAACAAATAGCACAGGGTTCTTTTAATACATAACATTTATTATTTTTTTTATTATTCTATGTGTCAATTTCTGTCAGGAGGTATTATTAAAACATATACATTTTATTACACTTTATCTTAGCGTTGCAAGTAAATCAGTACGTGACTTTATTTTTACAATATTATGTATAATTATAGAAAATGCTACTCCACCTTGAACTTACAGTTTTTTTACAAATGGCAAATGTCTTGGGTTTGTTTTCAACATTTTGCTTCATTTAATATAAGATCCTACATGATTTAAAATTCATTATTTTTCATTCAAATAAGAACTTTTGTCATATAAAATTTTAGTTGAGTCAACGTTGCAGTACAAGTGATTACGATTATAGTTATTTCTCTTTAATATGAATATTTCTATAATAATGTAAGTACAATAAATAAATTATATTCTTCCCGTGACCTGTTTGAGGTATTATTAATAAATTATAAACTGCAATTTTGGACTAAAACAGTGATTCTACTTAATCTAATTTACCATACATTTTCTAACTATAATATGAGATAATTATATTCAATAGTTAACTATACTGTACAACACTTTGAAGTCTCACAACAAGTACGAATGCGGGGCGCATCGTAACGTCTTTTCGTAATTACATACAAGTCCACGTCACTATGATACAGTCACTATGTTTGATATGTGGTATGTACAGTGCGGGCGGGCGCGAGCGCAGCGCAGGCGCGAGGCTATCACAGGAGCGGCGAGCGGTGGTGCGGCACGGCGAGCGCCGCGCGCCCCCGTCACACGAGCGCGCTCGGCTTCACGTCCACCGAATGCTCGGGCGAGCCGCGCCCCGCGCCGCCCTCACCCTGACTGTTCTCCTCCGAGTCCGAACACGAGTCCGAGCTGCCCTTCTTCCCGCCGTTGTGCGTCTTCACGTGCTTGGCGAGGTGGTCGGAGCGCATGAACCTCTTGTTGCACACCGGGCACGCGAACCTCTTCTCGCCGGTGTGCGTGCGCAGGTGCCGCTGGAGCTCGTCCGACCTCGTGAACCGCTTCCCGCAAAATAACCAGTTACACACGAACGGCCGCTCGCCCGTGTGCCAGCGGAGATGCGCTTTTAAGTGAGACGTCTTTCCATAAACCTTCCCGCAACCAGGTATGTGACAACTATGAATATTCTTCTTCCTAAGATGCGCTCCCGCCGGACCCAATCTTTCAGCCTCTTGGCAGTTGGGGCAATCGCACGTCGCTCTTCCGGCGTAGCGTCTTTGTGATCTAGGAGATGGCGCTTGCGCGGGCGGTGCGGGAGATCCGGGCCCGTGAAGGCCGAAGGAACCTTGCGTTGGTAGGACGGATTTGTATGCATCTTGCAAAAGGTGAGGCGCGGGAGGCAATAAATGTGCTCCACCCGATAAAGAGTGTGTCAGCTGGGAGTAATCTTGTCCGGCGTAATTAGCCATCTGTCCTCCGACGTCCAGCCAGCCGCTGTGTACGTCCCACCACGTGCTGCCAACTGCTCCCACGCCGCTCATTTCGGCCGCTTTGAGGGCGCCGCTGCCGCCCCCGCCGCCCACATTGAACGGCCACGATTCGTACGGATGCCGGGAATACATTGATCCTAGACTCGCGCTCGATTCACTTTTGCCGAGGAGTTGGTCGCCAGATGAGGGAAAGTAGAGATCATTGCCGTAGGACGGCGCTGCAGCACACGAGGTGGGAGCCCGCGCGTAGGGCGCGCAGGCCGGGGGCTGCGAGCGCGGCGCCGCTCCTGAGCCGGGCGGAGAGTGGGCGCCGGGACTCTTCTTCCACGGGTGGAAGCCTTTGCCGACGGCCGCGTCCGCCAGAGGTGGCGGCGATTTACTCGACAGCTTGTTGCACTGCGCCGCCAACATCGCCAGAGGCGTGCCGCGTAAGCTCGGATGTTCCTGGAAAGACAGACGGTCAATTGTTAATTATTTCGAATGAGATAAGGGCATTCTTTATTCGGGTTTAATTAACGGAGTATGTTTAGACCGTGAGAATGGCTCTGAGACTCTTGAGTGTCGACTCAAATTTATAGCCTAATTTATATGGGAACTAATGCTGCGGCGTTCAGCCGTAGCCCGGGGCGTTGAGAAATAATATAAATAAATTATGAGAGGTTTATAGGTGGCGTATTTACAATTAGGCGTGGTGACAGCTCCCGGCCGCTACCGCAGCAGCCTCAGGACATCGTAATTAATAAACGCTGCCTACTCCATGTCGGCAGCGAGCGACCGTAAAAGTTAGCCCGAGTTTTAGTGGCACTAAACTCAATTATGCAATTCATGATCCGCCTTGTTTGCGCCCGATGGGTCAACAGAAATACAGGTTCTTAGCAGATTTCACTGCTTAGTTTTAACCATTAACATGTTAAATATATGGCGGGTAATAATAATAATTTAAACCAACCTGGCGGGTTCAATTGCCATTTTTAAGTGAAAACAAACTCTGTTCTTTTATTGAACCAAACTCGGGCACAATACGAATGTATGTACAATGCTCTGTATTAAATCTCGACATGCAAACGAGTCATAAAAACTTTCTACATAAAAGCGTAATCCGTTCGCCGTTGCTCATTTGGCGGGTTTAATAAAGGTGAGGGCAGAAGAACATCCGGCCGGATATTTCACCCCAATCCTGGGACAATGGCTCGATAAAAAAGTCCCATTGTGTAAAATAATATAATCCGGGGATCGGGACAAGGAGGGGAGCGGGGCGGCCACGCCCTTAACATTGTGATTGGCGCAGCTGTCGCACTGTGTGCACCGGCCCTAGCTTCTGCCCATCTCTGATTGAGTTTTCCCATAGTAGTTTATGGGAAAATAGCTATTTCTAATCAAATCCCACTTATTGAAAATAAGTATTTCGAATATCATCAATTTCTTAGCTAAATTATTCAAGTGCCTTATCATATTCAAATCGACATCGACTACGAAACTCTATTTTGCCTGGTTTAAGTTCATTAACACTAAAGTTCTTATTGCCTCAGTAATATTGGGGCATTTCTACTGTACGGTGTATTTTTTCTCAATTCGGTGCTAAAATTTATATTTAGTTTTTTAAGTAGTTTCAATACAAAAAAATAAATGTTACTCTATTCTGAATGTAAAAATAGCATTGTCACTAAATATTGTGAAGTGGTTTATGAGAAATGTTAAGCATCGAATTGAGAGAGCACCGAATTGAAAAAATGAATCACGGAATTGAGAAATGAATCTCCAAATATAAAAATCGCTCCGCAAACTTAGAATTGATGACATTATGAAGAAATACCTAATGTATTTCAATAATTAATATAATAAATACTTAAAACGTTTTGATATCTGATTGCTGGTCTATTAGTTAGATGGTTCATTTTAGGTTTATGTGTCTGAAATAGGTACCAATGGAATAAAACAAAAATCCTAATCAATGTGTTTAATTTTTTAATAAGGAACTATAATATTCTTAATTTTTATATATTATTTTAATTTTATTTGAATAAAACAAATGCATGCATAACACAGGGTCTCTTTGTTTATTAATTCTTAACCTTAAACATAAAACAAATATTGCAAAACCCAAGAGCTAGATTGACCTGACACTATACCGAAGATATTATATCGGACGTCAGTTTGTACACGATTAAAATGGCACTCAAATAGCTGAAATACAACAAGGCACCAGGTGTTACGACATTATAGCTGAGCTTCGCCGGTACTAAAGGCTCTACAGAAGCAGTTCAATTACGTCATTCTCGAAGAAAAATCGCCTCCGGCATGACACAGAAGTGTGGTGAGCATTATAGACTCATCTCACTTATGAGGCGTGTTTACAAACTGTTTTCGAGAGTCCTTACGAATCATCTCGCTCGCAGACTCTACGACTTCTAGTCTTCCGAACAAGCTTGTTTCCGAAAAGGCTTTAGTATTTTGGTACACACACAGGTACGCTACGGCAGATTATACAGAAGACCAAGGAGTCGCGATATCGGGGATGATATCGGAGTCATGGCCTCCGTAGAGCCTTTCAACAAGTGGGTCTCAAAATGAACATGGACAAGACAAAAATCATGTCAAATGTCCGTGTTGTACCCACTCCTCTGAAGGTTGGAGACTACACTCGAAGTTGTTGACAATTGTGTATACCTGGGACAAGAGTCCAGATAGTTAGGTCCATCTTTGAAAAAAGGTCTATCGCTGAACGCTCAACTCAGCTAAGCATCGATCGGAAAGCTTCGCTATTACNTTTGATCTAAAGACCATTATTAGTAGGCGATAACATGCATTATAACAGCTAGTCATGAAATTAATTATGCCTTGTAAAACCTCTTCATGGATATCGTTAGCCACCGCCAAAAAAGGTGGTAAGGACCTGTGCAATTATAAAGCGATTATTTGACATTTTGAGAACCACGACACCACGTGCACCCTTGATCGTTAATAGCTTCGAATTATCGCTAAAGTAATTAGGATGTGTTTATCCTTTAAGGCATGATAGGATAGTGCAATTAAGACCTATATCGTGGATACTTATTCATACATGTACTGTTTATAATAAAGATTGAAAGTTACGAACTTTAACGAGACACTCAAGTTTTACTCGATAGGTGTCGCTACTTGTTCCATATCTATCTGTTGTAAAGAAATATATAAAAACATCTAAATACCTACTTAAAATGAAACTTAATAAGAACTTAATTAAGTATGAGTATACAATTTTTAAAAAAAGCTTGAGTGAGCTTTGTATAATATGTATATCATGTCTAGTGGATGTAGAGTCAAATGTAATAAGCACACGAGAAAAATCTATTGACCAACGTATAAAATTTAGTTTAAAGTTTAACCACACCACCACCACGTAACATATACGAGTATGTACATTAAAATATCTCGCAGAGCATAACAAGAATAAAGAAGCTCATTTTTTCACTCGCGGTTTGAAGATTAAGACGTAAATAAGATCAAAGAACTGAATATGAATATACACTACATACAAAATTCATATGAAGTCATATGTAGCGATAATTACGCTCAGTTCCATGAGACGTTCGGTCAAATAGAAATAATGGTGCGCCCGCGCTATCGCCGCCATCTTTAGTCGCTAGGGTTACCGACTCTATACTTTAAACAATAGAAGGAAAATAGTTTTCATATACAAATTGTGATGAGGTCTATAGGTACATACGTAAGTCTATCTATGGAGTCGTAAATTGATATTAAACTTTGACAATATGTGATTGTTTTCTCAATAGGGTTATAGCTTAATCAAATTTTAATAAAGTCTGAATTTTGGAAAAATACTAAAAAAGTAAGTTTGGACTAACAAAAGTCTGTAAAATAGTATTTCATCAACTATTTTAGAGGCAGTATTATAATAAAATATGAACCGAGAAAATAATTTTGATCGGATTGGCAACCCTTTCCGTTGCTATGGCCGCTCAATTACCTCGACGACAATTATAATTAACATAAAAAAATAATAAAAACCCTCAAATAGTAGCACTTATGATCGGCGGCTGTGACTTTGTTGAAGGAAAGATTGATAACTGGAGATCCCGCATAATACACTTCCGGCGCGTAAGTAATAGAAGATTCATGTTGTTTGATAGTTCTGTGTCTTTAAATGGCGACTGTTTTATTTACTAAAGCCATAGTAGATAGGACAAAATAGTAATTTGTATTTAGAAGGCAATCATAGAATCATACTTATCGTCTGTCATTAACAAAATAGAAGTTCTATACAACAGTAATCATATCGAATCGATTTCCTCACTCCAACAAGTTATTATCTTCATACTGTAATAAAAGTCTAAAAGTCGCTGTTTTACAAAATCCACACCTCACAAGCTCGAAGCAATTTGGGTATAATAGCGTTAGTTGTAGTTCCGACGTGAGACGCGATGCGTCGTCACGGCCGGCATAATTACTCCAAGCATTATGCTCCATTTGGGCAGAGTGAGGCCGAAAGCCGAAAGCCGAACCAGACCAGTGATATCGAGTAATTGGTCGTCAACCCGCCGGAGATTGGATCAAAGTGTGGATGACGCCTCGCCGGCGCCAACCGCCGCATTACAATGTTGATGGCCTTTTCCTTGTCAAAAATGACGAAGATCTTTGTCGTAAAAAATACGAGACGAAATAAAACGAGATTACCTAATGCGAGCACAAAATTGTAGTATCACAGGTCAGGTAGGCAGCGGCGAAATGCTGAGGCTTCTCTGACCGTACTTAACAGAAGGTACTTTTGGCTACGTGTTTAGAAAACCACAATATGTCACTTGCATGTAAACATTATTGTATTTACGAGTATTGCAGCTTTTTGGATTTTACAGGATATTCAGTATTATAATTATTATAATCATTGCTCACTTTTAAGAAGTCTATAATATTGTCTAGTTTAGTAGAATATCTATGGTTATAAGTCTTAATGTAAGTAGACCAAACTGCAATCAAATTAGTTGCAAATAATAATTGGCCTCTGATACAAATCAGGAATAATGAAGTACCTACTTTGCTCCATAATTCGTAGCAACTTTGCTACGGTGTTTATTAATTTCGTAGCAATCAACCGGATTAAATCTGTAATTGATGTTATTCTGTCAATAATGTCGGTACGAATTATTTTGAATTTGAATTTGAAAGGAGGCCGGATATATCTGTGGCTAAGTGTATCGGAGTACAGAAGGCGGCACGTTAAGCTAATCATTGTGAGGTCTTATGTTGTAGCAATAAGGGTGAGTTTGCAACAAAAATGTGTAGTCTGATATGCTGTCATCTGTACTTAATAGCAGGCGGGGTAGACTACGATTAAATAACGCGGCTCTATCAATATTGCACAACGCTGTCTCATGAGAGCATACCTACTTTTAATTACGGCTATTAATTTTAGATTACATTCATTCGAAATTATCTTACTATGATCG